GGCTCAAGGTAACAAAGTCACGTGTTTTGTATATTTCACGATGTATGGACTGATGTTTGTTGCACTCACTCCAAATTACCTCATTGCTCTAGTGTCATGGACACTATTTGTCACTGTTGTAATGAACATCCAGTTGACTTGTAATACAAACCTATAGTTTAGTTTGATAGTTTTTAAAACTTATGGGTATAAATCATATTTTTCTAAAAAGGTGAAATATATTTTTCAAATCCTATGACCAAACAGATGGTGAAAGTTCACCAAATAATATTTGCCAAGAATATTTGAAAATCTATGACGAAACGCTAGCTAATCGTGTTTTTTCCTACAGCCCTGGAATCTGGTCTTCCTCTCCTAAATCCTTATAAGGATAAAAGTGCAAATTTTAGACATGGTGCAAATTTTGCAGTAGTAGGGGCTACTGCTTTATCAGCCCAAGTCATGGCAGAGAAGAAGATTGTTCTGTCCTTCACAAATAGTTCATTAGACATTCAACTTGATTGGATGTCTTCTCATTTCGAGACTACTTGCTCCCCCGGTAATACTTTTAATTCAGTAGTGATAACATCTACGTACATTTTGATTTTGTTATGAATATGTTTTTGTTGTACTTCTGATTGATGTGATTCAGTATCTATACATATAAACTAATCAACAACGAGTTGAATTGATAAATTTTCTAGCTTTTGCTTGCTAGATTGCCCGGTACAGTTAAAGAAATCGCTTTTTCTAGTTGGACATATAGGAGGAAATGATATCATTTATGGCTTATCGCAAGGTAAAACCATGGAAGAGTTGCGAAGATTGGTTCCACATATTGTTCATACCATCATTCATGGTGTTAAAGTGAGTTTTAGTCTCTCTGTTTTTCATGATTGTTATTTTGTTCCTTTCACTTGCCTGAAGTTTGTTTGATAACGATATCAATCCTCGCTTACTTTTTTAGAGAGTTATTGGTTTTGGTGCAACTCGAATTGTAGTTCCAGGGACTTTCCCAAAAGGTTGTGGTCCAGCTATCCTAACGCAATTCATGAACAACGACTCATCTTCTTACGATGAGTACCATTGCTTGAAAGAGTTGAATAATTTGACGATCTTCTATAATGATCATTTGCAACGAGCCGTTGAGGAGATGAAGAAAGAGTATACAAACATTACACTCGTTTATGGTGACTATTACAACGCGTATATGTGGTTTCTACAAAATGCTGTCACTCTTGGTATGTCCACAAAGCATCGTTTTTTCTTTCCTATTTTTTGAGGTTAGAGAAAATGGAAAAACGCGAAGAGAGCTATATGCATTTACAAACTTTTTCTTATGTATTTTCAGGATTTGATAAAAATTCTCTACAGAAAGCATGTTGTGGAGTAGGAGGAGAATATAATTACGATAAAAATAGAAAATGTGGAGCTCAGGGAGTCCCAGTGTGTGATAACCCTAGTTCTCACTTCAATTGGGATGGACTTCATTTGACACAAGCAGCATATAGTTGGTTAACAAGATGGTTAATTGATGACATGTTGCCCAAATTGAACTGTCATGTTTAAATATTTTGACAAAATGGATGAATCCGAAGGCGGATATTACTTAAATAACGTGATCAAAATAAGATATCTCATGAAATTTTATTTGATTTTAGGGTTCTATACCCTCGATTCACGTTGTGATTACATATTTATACAATGTCAATATAAAAAAAATGTCATTAATAAGCTTATTATGAGAAGTAAAAGAACATCTAGAAGTTTAACTTTATTATAACTAGGTTAACAAGTAGATTAAGTAGTTCTATTTGTAACAAATATAGTCAAAGTTTCATTTACATAAAAAAAGAGTCCAAATTAGCAATATATATGTACATGTAACGAAAAATAGTTTCAACAAAATGACCATGTGTATATGTAACATATTGATATGTATATACATATTATATCAATTTGTATAAATAGTGTATATTGATCATGATAGATGATGTATAACTATATATTAGAGATGTATGTACTCTACATATATCGTTATTACAATAAAATATACAGTGCAGATTTCAATCCCTGCCAAATTAAATCTCCTCTAAACAATCCTAAAATGTTGATATGGACACCTCTAAATACTTTAAGTCTATTGATATATTATTTATTTGAAATGATTCACGAATTGCACTTGAAAATTGTTCGAATGCCCACTTTTGGTAAAAATAAAATAAAATAGTTGAGTCATTGTAGATAAGAAATTTTGACTGAACGAACATTTTGTATATTTTTTTAAAAATTAATTTGGAGTTTAGAACGATAGCACGGGCATATATATATATTGTATCTTCTTATTCCTTTCTACCACTTATCCCTAGTCATTTTATTTTTATGATGTTTCTGTTATAATTATATTAGTTTAAATGTTATCCCACTTTAATTTTATTAATGCCACTTGATAAGCCACTATTTCATTGAATTGGCTTAAATTTAATGTACTTATTGAAATTTATTCAATTTTAATAAGTTGGTATTTGATAATGACTTTTCAACAATATTTTTTTGGCTTTTATGAGTTGTGATGACTTGAATAATTAAATGCATTCTTTCAATAGATTGTATTTGTTTATTTTATTTCTGAAAAGTTGTCAACCAAGTAGTGTTGACTAACTCATGATGTGGAAAATCTATGATATAATATAATTAGCTAAGATTTAATTAACAAGCATATATTATTTTAAAATATTATATAAAAGTATAATATTTTCCTTTTTAGTTGGGGACTTCAATTTCTAGATATTCAAAAGTATTCATTATGGTGACTAATATATAATAAGTTAGATATAAAAGTATGTGTCAGCACATACTCAATATATGATATAATCTCTATTTTAATTAATGTGATACATAGATTCTTGACAGTCAATTAGTTTTTTCTTTGATCATAATTTTTTTTATAATTTTAAAATTATTTTAAATTGTTAATTATTGTGATTGTAATTTTAATGTAATATGTAATCATATAAATTACTAGAAATGTCTTTGCTCCTTATGTCCCAACTTATATAACACTGAGATTTTGAAAGTCAATCAAACTTTGTTTGATGATAAAGTATTTTAAATTGTTAATTAATGCAATTTATAATATTTCTTTCATAAGTTTTATATATATAGATCTTTAAAGATTTCTTTTGGCTCATTCATTTTGTGTATTTGACTAGTAAATGTAATTTTTTTAGTTGGTTGACCAGATATGCCCATAAATTATAGTATATGAAGATATTTCATTATAACATTAAATTTGTACTTTTTTTTAAATTTTACGTTTTAATACTTAAAATTGTAACATTTCATTGAGATTAACTACGAGAAACCGATAAAATTAAAACTAAAATGAGTTGAGTCGATATATACTGAATTCATAGCTAATAAAAATTAAGGATGTGACGGGATGAATGGAATACTTTTATCCATAACCAGAGATCTCGGATTTGAGTCTAAATAAGGTAGAGAACTACCTACAAGAATTATTTTCATTCTTGAGATTCGAACCCGAGATTTCTGGTTAAACATAAAGGCATCATTATCCATCTCGCCTACAACCCTTGGTGTTGACTTAGATAACATTATAAATTTATAAAAGGATGTATTGACATATATATATATATATATATATATATATATATATATATTA